ACGTACGTCTGGGCAGACCAAGGCACACTCTCAATGCCGGGGTTTGTACTGCATGTAGAACACGAACATTGGTCTTGCAGGTATTGCTCAGCACGGGCGAGCTATATCTCAGGAAACCGAGAAGGAGGGTTTGGTAGAGTTCAATCATCGGGTCTACTGACATCCACCACATCTTTCCTGCCAGGAACTTGAACAATTGGGAAACAGCAGGTCAGGCGCTTCTTCATATAGGCCACAAGTGAACTCCAACAGAGGTCCCTATCAGTAATGATGCCCAGAAACCAGTACATTCTGGCGTAAGAAATGGGTCGCCCGCAGATTGAGATTACATAAGAGGTTCTGGCTTTGCAAGTGAAGACCACCATCGCGCAATTTTGTGGTGATAAGCTTAGACTTTCATTTATCAAGTAGTTGGCAGTCATAATTACTGCTCTTTGAAGCCTGGAACGTATCTGAAGATGTGTGACTGCCAAAGTCCAGACACAGATGTCTGCGTATATTGAGATCCTAATGGTACTTGACATGTATTCAGCAAGGCCAATTAGTGCAAGATTGAATAGCGTTGGGATATGAACCACATCTTGAGGAACACCCCTGGAAGTATAGCGTCGCGTAGTTGGGCCATCTTCTGTTAACACAAAGAATAATTTTGCAGCCAGTTAACTCGAAATCCATCGAAAGACTCGGCCATCAAGTCCTACCACCACAAGAACACTCAAAACGGCTTTATGTAGTACATTATCATACGCGCCTTTCACACTCAGAAGCAAACCTGTAGATAGTTCCTGATAAAATCTTTTGTGCTTAACGTACAAAACTAGATCAACGACATTGTCAATGGAAGAGCGGTTAAGTCAAAAAACAGCCATAGAATTCGGATAAAGCTTGTAGTATTCAAGATACCACTCCAGGCGGCCTAGTATTACTATTTCCATTATCTTTCCTACGCATATAGCCAGTGCTAATGGGCGGTATGAGGCGAGTACGAGTGGGGATTCGCCCTGCTTTAAGATGTTTACCAAACGGCTTACTTTTCAGTCGTCAGGAACATTGCCGTCCTGCCACGAGTTGTCGTAAAGGCTCAACAGTTCTCTCCTTGCACCTTCCCCAAGGTTGCACAAGGCTCGGTACAAAATACCATCTGGACCCGGAGAAGTTGAACGCCTGCAGAGAGCTAGTGCCGCCTTAAGCTCCTCCATTTTAAAAGGGACGTCCATGTGGTAGTCACGGAAACGGGGAGCATCAACTATCATGGGATAATCTAGATGAGTGGCCCTGTTGGCTATCTGCGTGACATCAATGTCTTGGCGCCCCTGAAAGAGCGCGAGGGCTTTGAACGGAAAACGCTGTTCCGTAGGGTGACCCAGACCTCGCATCGTTTTTCAAATGTGTGAGAGCGGCTTGGGAATGTCTAGTGACTGGCAAAACGTTGTTCATTGTTCTGACGCTGATCTATCCATGTGACGCTGAATCTTCTTTTGCATCCTCCTGGCTGCCCAAAAATTGTGAATATATTTTGTCCACCGATACCCACCCTCCACCCGCCGTTGAAGTGCTTGGAGTTGCTCCAACTCTATGTCATATTCGTTTCGCGCAGAACATATCATCGCCATGTGAGTGGCGTTTTGCATTGTGCTCTGAATTGTTTGCTCTAACCCAGGCCGTAGGCCATCGCTGCAAGTATCTTCCTTGTCACATTTGAAGTTGGTTCATTGGACTGCTCGAAATGCCATCCGTGGATTACAACTAGACAAGCCTATGAAGTGAAGCTAGATTGGAATGTCATCACTTCCTCGTGTCTCGATATCTGAAAACCACTTGATGTATCGCGCGAGGGAGTTGGAGACAAAAGCAAGGTTGAGACAGCTGCTGTACATCACCTCTCGAAGATAAGTGGGACTACCGTTGTTCAAGACAGTAAGGCCATAGTTGTAGGCGATGTTTGCTAACCCATGTGCCTCTTGCACACTTCCCTATGCGTGATGGTGTGCATTGAAATCACCTATGATGACCCATGGTGCAGGAAAATCTCTCGGAATATCCGCGAATCTTCTGGAATCGAGATTATTCAAAGGCGATATGTAAACTGCTATGGGAGTTAACATGAGTTTGTTGATTTTCACAGTGATGCAGACATAATGATTGTCATTGTGAGGTGCAATATTGCATACCATACGTGAGTTCACGACGATCAAACACGATGATTTTGCTGCACGCACCGTTTGTTGAAGACATGACAACTTCGTACCCCGAAAGTCTTATTGGTTTCGACAAATTGCGTTCACAAATGACGATGAGTGAAAACACGTTGGTACATACAAACTGACGAAAACCTGAAAGGCAAGATTTCAGTCCTGTGGCGTTCCATTGAATGATGAATGAAGCCCTGACTTTTTTACGAAATGATGAGGTGCGTGTGGCCATCCTTCTAGCTTAGAGATTCTAGCACTGGGCTTATGGCGTCCAATACTCCAAGCACGCTTCGAACAGACGCTGTCTTCATGTGAACTAATATCGCTCAGATGGCTTCCATGAGGAAACGCAGCACTGAGATCACTCGACGAACTGTTTTAGGCAATACTTCCGTGGCTCTAGACGACTCTGGCGTGGGCGCAACCTGCTAGAATTCTTTGGCAGAAGAGCAGGTTGAAAGCGTGGGCCATTCTTCCAATGAAGGAGGCTTCATTGCTTTTATGGAGTGCAGGAAAGGCCTGCGTCCTCTAGAAAACTCTCGCTAGTGTCAATCGTCTCTTGCAGGACACAGTCTGCAGTGCTCATCCCTCCCTCCTTTACAGCAAATCGTGATATCATCGGCATAAACTGTGCCCAATATCTGGAATTCCAGAAAGCTGCCTCAAGAGATCAGCCATCACGATGTGAAAAAGTAGGGATGAAAGAACAGATCTCTGCGGAGGTTCCCCCTATCTTCCAGCACTTGCATATCCGATTCTAGATTTTAAGCTTAAAAATGGCTTTATGAATACTCAGGAAGAAACTCACAAACGCATGAATTGAGGAGCCTAGGTTGACACTAGCGATTTCATTTAAAATAAAAACATGACAGGCATCATGAAACGCTTTTCTTAGCCTCAAGCCCAGGATCCCCGTGGTGTCTCTGGTATAATTATCTAAAATTTCGTCTTAATAGTTTTCAAGGCATCCTGGGTGGAGAAACTTGGCCTAGAGCGAACTAATAATTGAGAAAAAATATCAATGTGTTCTATGTATTCCACCATTCATCACTGCATAACGTATTTCGCCACCTTTCCCACGCATGTACGTGAGAGATGGGGTGCGGATTATCAAAACTTGGTGCTTCGTCGAGCTTTGAAGTGTGGATCGCCTTGGCTAGCTTTTACTGCTCCGGTATATCACCTCCCCTACGAAATCCTATTAAACTCATCGGTAAGAAATTGAAGCAGTCTTCATCCAAATTGTGAAGCGCTTTGTTGGTGATCCTATCCGGACCTGGTGCTGATTGGCCATTGAGATCATGCAGGGCACGTCACACATGGCTGATGCCAAAGGATTCAGCAAGAATAGGGAGAAGGTGTTCCTATATACCCCGGAATTTGTTGCATATGGGAATCAGCTGCTAGTGCTACATACTCCTTAGCAAACTGCCCCGATAGCTCCGCTCCCGATGAGGACTTCTGAGCCAGATGAAGTATTCTAGCAAGGACCCCTTCTAATCAGGTCGTGTTCCCGAGTCCTCAAGCAGGTGTTTTAAAATATTCCTTATACCTCTGGTTTACATTTGTCTATTGACTGACTTACCTATTTCATCTCATTGCTGCCTGTACAAGTTTTTGCTGTGGTCTTTAATTTGCATATTTACCTCCACAATCTATTTCCGGCGCTTACGATTAAGCCTTCGACTCTGCCATCTTGTGAATAGCGACTTCTTTGCCTCCAGTAAATCGCAAGCCGATTGTCTTTTTATTTCTATTTGTACCCTGTCTCAACAGTCCTGGTAACCGCTCTAACATCCTGCAGCAGCATCTCCGTCAGCTGCAGCAAAGAGTGTGTTATTCCCTTGTTCCACTCGAGTCCTGTGTGACACCCGAATTTTATTCCAATCTACGTAAATAAACATTCTTTTAAAGAACTATTGCGTACAAAAATTCAATTTATTTTGTAATGGCAACCATTGAATTGTTGCTGCAGCTGCCCAAAGGGCGTTTAAGAGAAGTTCTGGAAAGGCCGCTTTTAATTCCAGCTTTCGCTGTGTTGTGCTGCGCGTTCCACGGGGACCTAGCAGTTTATTGGTGGTAGTGTGTTGATTGCAGCAGTGATGGTAAATGTTAATGTCAATTGCAGCAGTGTGTCATCTGATGACACTAAAGAAATGAGGGTGGGGTGGGATAAAATGAGACAATTTTAAAATAGTAAATATTTATTTTTATTTCACTATTTACAAATAAATATATATGCAGAAACTTTAGATTAGGTAAAATGTGTGTGCCAAATAAATACTGTCATGTTACTACCATTCAAAAGAAAATTTAAAAAAAAGAAAGACTTCACAAGTCTCATTTTGCCCCAACCTAAAAGGCGAAACGACAGGCTAAATGGGGCAGAACTAAACATGGCAAAAAAATTTATTCCTTCAGTTTTGGCATTAGAAAGGCTTGAAATTCACCTTTCGGGCCTTTACGCAGTCTTAAGGAGGCATGTTCTTGGACTTATGTATTGAATCTACACAGAAAGCGATGTCGTGTTGCTTCGAAGCTCCTTGCAGATCAAACACCACCAGTGTTTCTTTGTGCAAATGTTTTCCTTTGTTGAACGCTTGCACCTCACATGAATATTCAACAATTAGAAACTAGATATGTTTTGACGTGTCTTCTTTACCGGGAGCCGGCACACACATGAAGGCTCTCTGCAGAGAAGACTATCATCTCTCAACGTCCTTTTCCGTGACGCACGCAGATGCGTGGTCACTTGTTTACACATTCAACATTTCGTGGCTCATAAACATTGATTCAACTTTTTTACAGAACAGCCACTGTGTTCTATTTGGGCGAAGAATGAATTTACAAAAAAAAATAAGGTGGACAAATATACATTGGAATTATTTCGCGTGATTTGCAAAGATGCAGTCTACGACGGGTACCCAAAATTTTGCCCGAAAGCGGAGAAATAAAACCCATTTCCTGTAGAGTGAACATCTTATGTCATGAATAAGCTTATTAAACTTCAATGCGTTCACTCAAACTGACACCTGCGCATGACAGGTCGGCGTTGGCTGGAAAACGTTCCCCGGACAGCCTACACTTTGGCTCGTCTTAGGTAAGTTCTATACGTGGGAAGTGCACGAGGAGCAGGAAGGCTCTTTTAAAGTTCTTAAATTTATTTTAAAGTAATCTTTATAATTTATTCTTTAATATCATCGAAAAGCAAACTAGTCCTCGAATTATGGGAATTCGGACCATGGAGAGATTCATAGGCAATATTTTTATAATGCAATATTTTTTTGAAAGTGGAAAACTATTGCAATTTTAGTACCGGATGAACCTGTACTAGCTAGTAGTCTGGCTGAAAGCATGAAGTATAAGAAACGTTTGCTTGATTTTCGCAACGGCAGCTTCGTCCTGATGTGCAGAACTACAAGCGAATACCTCTCTCTTTTAGTACAGAGAGCTCTATAAGTTTGTATGTGCATCGGTTGCCTAGATGCACCACCACTACCCTCAGCATGTTGCGTTTTGGGTTCTCATAGTAGCTTACTTAATTATTAAAACAGATGTACATTGTGCGATTGTGCTATTTATACAATGCGAATGTAGCGTTCTTCCTATCCCAGAGATTTTTACTGCCCCCATTAAGGGTGTTAAAGCATGGGTTTCATGGAAACAGAGCAGCTGCACCAGGGAACAGTCCTTTGGCACTGTACTCTAAATTTTGTTAAAATAGTGAATATCCTGTGGGGTAACCAGGTCAATGTTGCAAAACTGAATAAAGAGAAGCTCGCCATTTTAGTGATGCTATGTTTCAGTATTCAATGCCAATTGAATTGACTTCACTGTTAAAAATGTAGAAGTAGGGGAAACTTCCACTTATGTACCAATACGCTCCGAAAATCCCTGAGTGGGAACAAAAGAACATAAACGAGAGGTATCGCGAACGCGTGAGATGCGCATTGGTAAAAACTCGGTCTTTTTATTTATGGTTACCTTATGAGCTGTGGCTGAACTTCTGCAGCAGAATGACAAGAAAACGATGACTGCTCAAATCTTAGAATAAAAATGCGTTGTTTCACACGAACTCCTAGAGCTTAGTTCATGACTCGGGTTGCTTGTGAAGCAGGCGCGCAAACTTGGTCTTCTCCTAATATTCGCCCTCGGAGGAGAGGGCCGGGTTGGGGGGGGGGGGGAGGGGGCTGACATGCGCGTTTGGCATTTACAGGAGGCTACAGCCAACGGAAGCCAAAATTTTGAGAATTTGCTGCCGCACTGCATCGCGAAGACACGAATTGCATGTAGTGACTTTTACATCAAGTAAGGATAGTTTTAAGTTCATCATGGTATTCATAATAAGGAAAGAATAAAGATTGAAGCACCAACAAAGGAAGAAAGTTGCAAATAAAGTGTTGTGCACCTGAGACAATGCCTAAGTTACAAAGCTGAAAAGATAATAACAGACCATTCTAACGTGCCTACAAACCTAAGTGGCATTTCAAGCAGTGTACTTTTTCATGTTCACTTCTTGCCACTTTTGTTTAAAAATACCTATTTCATAAAACACTGAAATCAGATTAGGAGCCAGCGCTGTAAAATTACTCATGTACGTTTGTGAAACATCGCGAGAAAATCTTTACATCAGCTAAACTAATATTTATGGTAAATACATTAGCTTTCCACAAGAAATGCGAGGAGAAGAGTGAGTGTAATGTCACCTCAACTCGAACTTACTGTTCAAGTATTTTTGGAGGCGCAAACTGCACATCACCTGAGCATATTTAGGGTAAAAAGCTGCAGAATAGCGATCTATCGGCTGCGTGTTATGTGGTTTTTGTATTTCACAAAGATCACCTGCAAGTGAATCATGGTATATGAACGCATGAAGTACTAAAAGAGTAAATGTGTCAGGCTAAATTCATATACCACTTCTGATTACGAATAGTCATCCCGCAACAACTCAAAACCGCGCGTATCCGCAAGTCGCAAAAACGCACAACCATTAAAGTTACTCGCGCGTTCCACTCTGTCTTCACTCGCTGTTGCCGCTTTATCTGTAGTTCTTCTCGCGAACACTCGCGGGAAAAACAACAAAAAGAGCGGTAACAGAGCTGCGTGTATGTGAGCTCGTATGTGTGTGCGTATGTGTGTGCGTATGAGACAGAGTGGTAGCAGTGTGCGTGTAAGTCTGTTCGAGCCTGACAGACAACACGCACGCTGATGAAAACTAGCACACTCAACATACACTCCCACGCACTAACAGTTTCCCATAGTCGGAGGGCGTGGTTATTTTTTTCGTCATTCGGAAACACCAAGTGGCGAACTGTCTGCAGGCCACGAAAGCGTGAAGTGTTGTGTTTAGCCTTTTGCTTTTGAAGCAGCAAAACAGTAAATAAGGGCTACCTTCTTTTTGCTGGTGGTGCGCACTACAGCGATGGGAGGCTCACCGATATCTACAGCTAAAGAACGAAGGCCCATCAAAATTCATGTGAAAAAAATGCACGCAGTAAAATAAAATAAAACAACTACAAAGATAAGTTATGAAGCAGTCACGTGCACTTACAAGACATGGAGCAATTGGGTGCACTGGGTCGTCCTGATAGTCACTACACCCTCGTTAATGGAAGAAAAACAATAGTAGATGAAAAACTCACACACTCTTGCACAAGTTTTCATTGTTTTAATCATAGTTTTTTATGGTTAAAAGATTGAGAAGAATGGCAGAGCTCATGTACATTTGCAATCAGTATGTTATGAGAAGAATGGAGACCGAAAATTACTGTTCTTACTTTTTTATTGAGCGAAACGTTACGAAAAGATAGTAAAGGTATTTACAAATCTTGTATTTACCGGCATATGCTAAACAGTCGTATTCGCTTTGTATAACCAGTTTTCGACAGCTGCATAACGATACCACAAGAATATCCTTATTAGCAGTGCCACAAGTGGTAAGCTGACATACCATGCTTTTGCTCGCTAGAGCAGTTGCGCTGGATATTGCTACTGTAACGATGACAGTGCCGCGGGTGCGCAGGCGCGTGCTAAGCTAAACTGGGAAGACGAGGACAATGAATATAGAAAATACAACAACTACTAGGGACAGGATTAAATGCCGTCTCTGTCTGCTTCCTTGAAATGGCGCCATTGTCGAAAATCTTTGGTGAACCCCAGCTTCTAGCTTGAGGTACTGTGGTTTTGAGCGGAACATTGCCAGGATTCCTTTTTGATTGAACCCGCAAGTTGATTACTGCCATAAATATCCATCGCACCACCAGTGGACCTCGTCCAGGCCTCCATGATGATCCCGGAGATATACTTGACCGGTGGCGCGCTCTTTCGCACTTACAATGCGCACAGTCTCCTTTCTGGAAATGCGGTTCAGGCTTTTCAAGACGTGGATCACTCAAGATCCACTCTACCTTCATAAGAGCCGTCAAGGGAGGCCATTCACGCTTCCTTGGTCATGGGTCTCCCTTTATTGAGTGCTACAACCAACAAAGACGGCGTGGACGTGGTTTCTTGCTCATCAGGCACCGCATACGAGAGCTGCGCAGAGCTCTTGCGTGGTCTCACGCAACTGTTGTTCGAACAGTTAGACCGCTTGGCATCGTTGAGCTGCAAGGTCCAGCCGGCTGCCACACCATACAACGCTCTTTCGAAAGTACAGGACTTCCGAGGATGACGCTGACATATAGGTGGCGACTGCCACCACAATCGGTCCTAGGCATGCCTGTCCCGACAATTATAAATAGCAGGTGGGCCTCACGAGCCAGTGGCCTGGGGGCAGTCCCTGTGGCTGTGTGCTTCCCGTCGCATTTTTTTTCTGAAACGCTCTTTTGAGTGCCGGTTGCCACATTTGGGCACAGTGAGTTTTGTTTAGACGTGACTAAAAAATGGCAGCATATCCACGGAGTGAATGAAGGGGAGTTGGGAAAAGCATTCGTCCATCCATTCGTTCTTGATTCCGTCCGTTCCTACGTACGTCTGTGTAACCGTCCATGCGTCCATCCACCTGTCCAGGCGTGCGTCTGTTCGTGCGTCCGACCCTGCGTTCGTACATGCAGCCGCGCCTGCGTCCGTTCATGCGTCCATTCATGCATCTGCCTGTGTGTCTGTTCGTCCAACTATTCAGCACTCCAAGTACCACTATCTCGCATCTTTTCATCATATATTCTCCATATAGAAGCACCGCCATCCAGCGGACATTTCAAGGACTAAACGGGAGGTGGCACATGCACACTTTCTTACGGCTTGCGCTTCGTGTTTACTTCCTACCTTTAACCACCTCGAGTTCATGGTATATACTAGTTCACTGTATTCATGGCTATGCGGCCCAACGCTCGCTAAACCTTTCTAAAACCAAAGAGGTGACACCCAGCGAGTATAACGTAGCAACCCTTTCTTGTAAGATCTTTCTCAATGTACACGCCAATAGCTGCTAATGGGGATCACAGCGTGCGCGTTACCTAAAAGCCCAATGCTTCTGTATCTCATTCCCCCTTAGCAGCCATACACATGTGAATTGAGAACTATCTTTTATTGTTCAACAACGCACAGAAGAAATCTCTCAGCGGAACCATCTTTGAGGTCAAAGTCGTAAGGACCGCTATTTCGGGTATGTGCCACTGATGGTTACGTATACGAGAGTCGGTGGTGGGATGAAAGGACGGTGGTGGTCATACGCACTATGAGGGACGGCGGGCGGTGGTGGGTCGAAAGGCGCATGAGAGAGGTAGTCGGCGTCGGTGTGTTTTGCCGGATTTGTAAACGACGATAATGACATATTGTTCAAGTCTGAGGTTTCATCATGTGAGGTGAGCTGAAGGGTCCTTCAAGGTAGCTAGCCAACACAAGGCGTGGTAGTCGCTCATAACTTTGAAGGGCCTGTCGTAGAGGTAGGGGCAAACATTCGACGCAGCCCAGATGATGGCGAAGCACTTTGTTCTGTTGGGGAACAATTGGCTTCTGCTTCGGACCGCGATCAGCTG